TAGGTAGGTAGGTAGGTAGGTAGGTAGGTAGGTAGGTAGGTAGGTAGATAGGTAGGTAGGTAGGTAGGTAAGTAGGTAGGTGGGTGGGTGGGTGGGTGGGTGGATGGATGGATAGGTAGGTAGATAGGTAGGTAGGTAGGTAGGTAATGTAAGTTGCTTACTTCACTATATATAGGGTGTATTTATAAGTATAGCATACCTCGGTAGAACGTCATCTTACGAGCTAATCGGTAATAAATAAAAGTTGGGCTCGGGATCGGCCTTGGGGGAGGATCTAGGGCGGGTGGAGGAGGGGCAGGGAGAGGGGGAGAACGCATTTAATAATGGGCGAACGATTTTGCGTTTCTGCGTCCGTGACTGAAACAAATCGTGCGCGACGCAGTACGTTCTCACACGCTTTTTTTTCGAAGTAAATCGGGAACGAACGTCGTTTCACGAGTCACGGCTACATCTCGTGCGCGTTAAATCACGCGTTGCTTTATCTCAATATAATCTATCGGTACGGGCGACTTATCCAAAACTGAATTGGGCTACCTACTGAAAAGAAATACTTGCGTGTGTGTTCGCTTTTTCCTTTTTTTTCCTTAAAGGCAAAAAATAAAATACGATAGTAACTCTATAAAATATTGCCGTTCGCCATTGTCATCGCACACAATTAGTGCGACGAGCGCGCTTATAATCGATATAATAACGATTCCGCCGGTCACTGTCTCGATTAAACCATCGAAGACTATGCTTTCAATATTCCACATACGACGGACACGTGAAAGAATAAATTCCTAAATTATTAACATATAATTGTCTTCTATAGATACGTTCCTTCTGACAAGTTTTTAAATTATATTCGTAAATATGATCTCTACTAGAAATTTGTCGTTTTAAATAAATTTCTTAACTATGATTATAAATACAGTGCTTATTGGATTTGTCGTTCTCCACTTTAAAATTATAATCGTAAATACTTGCTTAAATATCTTAAACTCTTAAATAGCTCTAACACAAGGCTTCTCGTATCCGTCGTACAAATAAGAAGATAGTCCTCCATCGTGAGTGAATTAAGAAAAGAATTGTCGAAACGTGCGATCGTAGACTGTGCGGGAAAATATACGGTCTTGCCCGGGAAATTATTCGAAAGATTTCTAGTTGCGGCAAGAGAGAGAAATAATTTTAAAGCTTATTAAATCATCATATTCGGTTAATCTCAAGTACATTTCGCACGTTTTTACTTCCGTGACCGAATCGAGACAACGCCGAGGAGGCTCGCGAGCTCACCGACAACTCGGCGTGTGGCGAGGCTATAAGAAATGCTTTCGAGAAGGAAGCGATCTCAGCTTTCCCATCGAAAGACGCCTGTGTCCGACATGGTTCGCTCCGCACCTCCGATGCGGAAGAGGATCGAAATAAAATCCGGATTTCTTAGGCTACATAAATGGGAGTCTCAACGAGAACTCCTCGAGAAGAAATAAATTATGTTACACGTTACAATGATAACGAATCTTTGCCGTACATGCTGCTCCTCCTCTATTTACAATAAAGACAAACAATCTCGTATGTCTCTTCGTTTTCTCGGCTTCTTGGAGGTGTCCTCTGTATGCATTTTGTGTATGTTTTGTGTGTGTGTGTGTGTGTGTGTGTGTGTGTGTGTGTGTGTGTGTGTATTATTCGTGTCACAGCGTAATCGCATTTCCGCGTGTATATGTGTATACATACGTGTTACTCGGGCTCGTGTGCGATTAAATAATCGGGCTCTGAAAGGTGTGCGATTCTATTGCTCGACTAATAGTTCTCGCGAAAATGAAAAGATGCCACATCTAAGTTGTCCCTTAAACGTTAACTATAGTAGAGAAACGGAAACGCGGCGTGTATCGTCCTCGCGTGGCCCCGACGACGCGGAAGAACTCGGCTCGGCGCGATCGCGCGTTTCCTGAATTCTCCTCTGACGAGACCGGGTCCAGCACGATCGCGCCCCAGCTTGAACCCCCCTTTCAGTCTTAGGGAAAACGCCGTCGTTGGCCGCGCGTCCTGTAAACTAGTCGTAAATCGTATGTACGGAAACTACTTATGTTCTGTTTATAGTTGGCTGTCGCTGTTCGCTGTGCAATTCGCTTTTCTCGCAGATTTTTATTTTTTTTCTTTCACCATTCAACACCGCGGCAATAACAACGATCAAAGGAAAGATTTCACACGTGCGTGGAACGAAAGCCCTCGTCGATCGGTTTCTGCATGCGTGTGATCTGAAACTCTTGGATTGCGTCTCACATATCGATGATCACATACCAATATCTCGCGAAATAGATTTACAATTTTACAGATTTTCCTTAAAAAAGGACCGGATTTTCTACTTGTTTTATTAAACTTAGCTGAGCTATCCCGATTTTTTTAAATCATCTTATGCCCACTTCTACCGATGTAAATAATTAACCTTGATCTCAGGTTTAATTCAATAATCTTTTTATGTTTTTCTAATTCGAAGAATTAGAAAAAATAAAGAGTAAACCGAGATTCATCTATATTCTGATCTTGATAGAAATAGTCCATTTCCTTTGCTCGCTTCAGTTTTCTTCGTTTATGTCCATTTTTATCAATGTAGATTTATTTTACTCTCAATTTAACTTACTTTCCATTTTTTCCTAGTCCTAAGAATCAGAAAAAGATAAAAAAGAAATAATTAAACCGAGATTGAAATCAATCTACATTGATAGAAATCGACGTAAAAGAAGAAAAGGAAAAGCGACGAAATATTCGAAGCGTTTATCGATAAACGAGACACGCATCCGCGAGCTGAAAATGAATTAGCTTGCTCACTAAGGTAGCGCCAGAGTCACGCATGTCCGTTTTGTATGTCGACCCGATAAAAAAAAAATACCTCCTACAAGCTACTGTCAGCTTCCTCGATTCTAAAGTCTCCAAGCCTTTTAGTTCGCCTAGTGCAAAATTCTGCCCGTGAACTTTTGTTTCGTCCTCGACGACGTTCGGAAAAAAAGAACCGCGGCTTCTCTATCTTTATCTCTCTCTCTCTTTCGCTCGCGCGCTCTCTCGCTCTTTCTCTCTTTTTCGCAATAAACGCACTCAGCCTCAGTATAATCCTACAGCGTCAATATATCAATTTTTTATATATATATATATATATATATTTATATATATATAATATACTTTTTTCTCATATATATATTCACTTTGTGTTCTATATCAATAATAGCGTATTAGATACTTTTTGTTCACTTATGTCTTAGGTATGTAATATAGGTATATTCTTTTTTTTTTCATCATCTGTTCACAGATACATATATGTATATATCAAAATGTGGAAACGAAAGGGTCCTCTCGAAATAGCCGTTCTCCGTTCGGTCGGTCAGCTGTTCCGCTTTCATTTTTTTTCCCTATACTCTTTCCCTCCTACCTAAAATGCGTCGACTTTATTTGCTTTGCCGGGAAACTAAAAAGGAAAACATTTCGAGAATATGCCATTCAGGGTATTACCTGTGTGGATTGATCCAAAACACAAATTTTGTCGGGTAGTTTGTTGCTTCGGACATTCACTCTGACACGCACACAAAAGTTCGTAGATACGTTGCGATAATTCGACATAAGAGGATTCGCCGGTTAATTGAACATCTCTCTTATTGCGCGACTGCGTTTTTCTTTTCGAAACAATTAGAACTGAAAGTCTCGAAAGGGGGAGATTTTTCCTCCCCGCAAATAGTTCAGGAATCGGACGGTAGACAAATTTTATATCGAAAAATGCTGCGACTCTTGTAAATTTATATCAACCGCCGTATTTGTGTCAATTTAGGTTTACAGATTAGACTTCATTTGAGAATAGGTCAAATTAAATATTGAAAAAAAAAATGACACGTTCCGTTATATTTACAACGCTGATTATAATTGAAATTTAAAAAAATCTCTCGAGATTTGAAGCAAATAAAAATAGAAAACAGTAGGCGGACTACAGGAACATGGAAAGATTCTCGGATAGCAAGCTGATGTGAAAATCAAAATTAGAAATGTACCGAATATCTGAGAAGACCGGTATCCGATCTTATCCGGCAATATATAATATACATCCGGCTGTAATTTTATATTGAAAGTTCGCGTCATTGTTACAGAATCCTATTCTTTTCAGCTGAACTTTTTTTGCTCACCTTTCCTTTTTCTTTTCACATTGGGGAGATAAAGAAAATTATTATCGCTATTTTTCCCTTGTTTTTTTTTTTCTTCTAACTATAATAGAATAGAGAAATTATACGGATATCCGGTATAAATAATATCCGGTATTTGGCCAGATTATCCTACCGGATATCTGACTGGATATCCGGAAATTTTACGATTCTTACGGTTTTTACATCTCTAATCAAGATGATAAATAATGTCAGCTTACTAGATTTCCTTGACGAAACTATCAGTTTTTGAGTCACATCGTCCGCTTTAATCGGAAATAAAATTGATCTACACCGCTGAGTATCATGGAGAAAATGAAATCAACTCGAAGAAAGCGAAGTGTCAAACTTACGCACCGTATCTACAAACATGATCACACGAGTAATGCATTCAGCAGAATTTCGAATGACTTTTCTCGTCGCTTAGTCAAGTGGTCACGGTCTACGGGACACTTAAATTTTTTTTTTTGGAAGGCACTTACTACTTTTTTTCTTTTTATACAGTATTTAATTTTAAACTTTTCCGCATTCGCTCTCTCTCTCTCTCTCTCTCTCTCTCTCTCTCTCTCTCTCTCTCTCTCTTCCCCACGCTCTCGCGACCTCGCGTATATTCTTCCTTTCTCTCGTTTTTCTTTCTCTCCTTCCTCTTGCACCTGGAATTTTTTTTCGCGATTCGGCTTGCGCTTCTCTAAATTTCGACTGCCCGCGCAACCCTTCTTTTTTCCTCCCCTCTTTCATTCTTCGTTTTTAACCCATCTCGCACGTCTCGCGCGAATTTACGTTTGAACACATTAATGCCTAAATGGTAAATAGAATTCGCGCTTTCCGAATTTCACGCCGAAATGAAAAACGTGGTCGATTGAAGTCTCGCAACGCGTATACTAATAATAAATCGCCGCGCCGTCCGCGTGTCGCCTCGCGACACCGTCGCGTTTTCGCACAAAAGTCGTTTGTATCAAGAATAACGTGTTACTTTTTCTTCCCCTTTATTTTTTGACTTGCCTGATGTTTTGTCACTCCCTCATATACGTGCTACTACGATCGCGCGATCCTTTCTTCTCTCTCTCTTTTCCTTACCTTCTTTACCGATAATATTCTGGCTGCATGAGCGTGGTGCGAGAATCAATTTTTTTTCTTTCTGCGATTTTTTTACCCTCTCTTCCGTAAAGTTTTCCAGACAAACGGATAACACGGATGGCTCGTTTCGCCAAAAGCCTCGTACGAGCAAAAGCGAAAAGCGATGATCTTTCCCTTTCACCGAAGGCCACTTCGAATTTTTTTTTTTTTATACTTTTTACACTTACAAGGAGTCTCTTTCTCTCTCTCTCTCTCTCTCTCTCTCTCTCTCTCTCTCTCTCTCTCTCACTCTCACTCGCATTCTCTCGCACTCTTCCTCTTTCTCTCTCCCGAACCAGCGTGCCGATGTTAGGAAATCTCAGAAAATTTCGATGAGATACATATTTAGAATTAAATTATTTGAAAAATTACGGTTCGTTTATAGCTGGTGGAAGATATAAATGATCAAATGAGGATCTTCATATTAACACTATCGAAAGGTGATACTTAGCGGCGAATCAAAACCGAATTGGATCGAATTTAGTACAGACGATCAATTACAAAGTCCAATAAATTTTAATCATGTACAATTTCGCTCTATTTGGTTGACGTTATAATAAAAATTGTCTGCTTGTTAGTGACAGTGGTCAAATGAAGGATCTTCGTATTAGCAGCACCATCGAAATGCGATACTTTGCAGTAATCAAGTCTAAAACTCTGCGGATTCTGAATTTAGCAAAGATGATTATAATTACAATCTCCAATAAATTGTATTAGTGCATAATTCCGCTCTCGATTTTGCACAGTAGATATTAAAATACCTCCATCATTTTCAGTGGTCGGCACAGCTCGTTCATCGATTGTCGAGGACTTGGAGATCCCTTTGCGAAATCACGCGCGACGTGTGTAAAATTTTGAAAAATAGCACGATCTTTCGAAAAAAGAACACGTATACGAGCTTTTCTTTCAAATCCATTTGCACCTTCGTCCGTATACTCAGTCCGTTCACACTCGTGTTCACGCACGCACGCACGCACGCACGCATGCAGATTCGTATATTCAGACTTTCGCAATCTCGCATTGATGCACAGACACTCGTGGTCGCCGAACTCACCGAAATTTCGACACGGTCTGTCGTGTCGAGCCACAGTTTCTCGTCTCTAATCCCTAAACCTTATAATTTTTATACTTGGCATACCCCAAATATGGCAGGAAGGCAATCATTATACTTAACAACTTTATAGCGATCATCTCGGCCTAGAGTGTGCTCGCTTTATAAGCCATTGAATTTGTTTTCTCCATTTCTAAATACTTTGTCGTACCTTTTTTTCCCTCTCTTTCGCTTTCTCTCTCCCTCTCTCTCTTTCGCTCTTTAATTTCTTTTCTTTTTTGCTCGTTTGCTTGCTTGGTAGACAATCATAGTGAATTTTGTACATCTCCCTTACCTATCGAGCTTACATCGGTGACGTCGCTTACTGCCTGGCGTCAAAAGTGATAGTATTCTTGCACAAAGCGTCGCGGATGAAATTGAGATTTTTTGTTTTGTTTCGAAGAGATTCATAGATAAAGGCAAGACTCATCTTTGAGATGTTTGATACGTTAAAAAAAATGTTTCTATCGATAGATTTATATAAGTAATTGAAGACCAGATCTGTTTTTTCCCTAAAAGCAAGATTTACGTTCTTAGAATAATTTATACAGAAATAGAAAATGAGAGTTCGCGATCTTTGTAATTTATTTTACTTTCGCGATCTCTATAATTTATTTTACTTTCACGTTATATATATATATATATGTATATACTAATAAGAAAAACCTTATTTTATAGTCTTAAAATAATTTCAAGCAACTCTCTTTTGCGACACCTAAAAATTAGGAGTGTATCACAAACTGATCCATGACACGTTGTGTAAGGACTCGATAATACAACGTGCAGCTTTGTTCGAGGCGGCTTATTTTTCTCATCTCGATACCCGTCTCGAATAGTCAATCATTCGGCAGTAGGCGACCCCTTACGAGTTATTATACATTTGGCATTAAAAGTACAGTTATTCGTATAATGCGTAGGTATAAATTTCGAGTGTGTATCTTGTTATGTACGGCGCGCGCTCGTGTATCCATGTGTGAGTGTATGTATATCCATACGTGTGCGCGTGTGTGTAACGTGTGGGGGTTTTTTTTTTACCTTTATTACATGTACATAGTCTGTACGACACGACGATGACACGACTATCTAGATTGGAAAAAGGTGGCGGCGCGCTCGCGAGGCGCCGGCGACCTAGTATAGCTATAGTATGTTTGCTAGAAGAAGGTTTTTATTCTCTTTCGCTCTCTCTCCTTTCCTCCGTTTCTGCTTTTCCGCTGTCGAAGGTTCCGACCGAGCGATCCTCGTCTAGGACGGTCCACTACCGTTCGATCGTTCTTCCCCGGAGCTGAGAGCCCAGGCGAGAAATTCTCGACACTCTAGCTTATCTCGTCCGCACTCGTGTGTCTCCGTCAGTTTATTATTTTTTTTTTTTTTCTTTTGATTGTAAGCCTCTCTTTTTCTCTAATATCCCTCTAAGATTTTCGTATGCACAATACATCGCGCGCTCGCGTATAACGTTCGGAGTCGCGTTTATATATATTATAAACTCCTGCGAGAATGGAGGTGAAGTGAATCGGACAGTGCTCGATTCTTCGCGAGAAGTCTATCGGCTCGCATCACCGGTCCTCGGCCGCTGACGGCCTCGAAGAGAAAGAGATCCTCCTCGGGGTCATCGACGCACCTCGTCCTTCCACGGCCGACGATCCCGTAGGAGCTGATGTAGTCGTCTCTCCTCCTCGTTCCGCAGCCACCATAATGACTTACTATTCGCAGCGCGAGTCCGTGAGCGGTTCAAGCTTCACCGGGATCTTGTCCTTGTCCTTAAGACCGTGGGGGCTCTTCACCAGATCGGCGATGTCCTCCTGGAAGAGATTCTCCGGACGTGGACTGACAAAGCTCCGTGCCGGCTTGTACGTCATGCCGCTCACGCCGATGCCGACTTCCACGCTACTGGGTATGTGGCCCGCTGGATCCATCAGCGGACCCAACGGGCTCGCCAGGGGACTCTCCAACGGACTCTCGGGCGGTCCACCCGAACCCGGGCTCGCCAGGCCGAGATTCAATGGCGAATTGCCGTTGTTGTTGCCGGCGCTATTGCTGCTGCCGACCAGGCCACTCGCGTTGCTCGTATTATTGTTGTTGTGGTGCTGGCTAGCCTGCATCGCCGCTTGTAGATTTGACGACAGACTGGTAGACAGACTCGTCGACAGGTTCGTCGCCATCATATCGTGTTGCTGCGAATGCGCCGCTGCCACCATGCTGCACATCTGATGTCGCAAACCTGATGGATATCGAAATTAATGTAGAGAAATCTCGACAGGATAAGTAAAATTGTTTTTAGAGAGAAAGATTAGCACATTTTTTTCAGAATTTCGATATTAAGAAATATGAGGTCTCCTTTAAACTTTCTGATACATTTCGAATACCTTTCGAAAAGGGGGCTTTTAAATATAAATATAGAATTTGAATTTTCTCTCAGCAAAGATCCCAGGAATATTAGCACTTTTTTTTCATTTTTAACAAAAATAAAAACTTGCAGATTTTTAAATATATAAATGCGAAAAAGTCTAAACATAAAATATCCTAAAGTTTATTATTTTGCGAGCGTTCCGTAAAATTGAGACTCTCGGAATCGCACAGACGTAATAAATAATATTATATAATATTACTATTACAATTATACGTAAATATAACGTAATGTACACGTATAGATGATTCTTAAGTTTTTTAAAAAATTTTTAAGGGTTTATTCCTCACATATTAATTCAAGATGAAAACTTTATATAATCAGATGTCTAAAGCGACTGAGTTAGCATAGAATTCAAAGTTTGAAAGCAAAATTATATTTTTCCACAAATTTTAAAAATTACACGGGTTATCGTTGAAATATAATACAAAATTTAATCAAAATAATCCAACAGATTTTCGAAATTTTTGAAAAAAAAAAAAAAAAAAAAAAAACGAGATTTTCTTTAATTCTAACTCTGGACTTCAATACAGATATTCTTAGAGAAAATCAAGAGCTAAAGTGTGCAGTATCAGACTGTGAAACACGATACATATTTTCTTTAATCATTCAGTAGGAATGCATGTTCATGTTTGACGTTAATTTTTACTTATTTTAGTGTGTACATTCACCCTCTGAAATATCGACATGTTTTATTTATGAATCACTCTGTACACGCGTGTGTGACTACGTACTTTATAGTTCATTACTATTATTATATATTATTACGTAACATTACTTTTATTATTAGTAATAGCGAGGGGGCTAATCACTTAATGTAATCGAGAGACAGACTCTCCGAAATCATTATAAAATTCATATGAAATTCCCATGTGTTCCGATAATTACACGTGCAATCACGAGAAATCATTGTGCAATATTAGATAAAATGGTTTACGTTACCAAATGACTTCATATGTAGTGAAGAAAATTATTTGTAATGAGATGAAATTGTATGAAATCAAATGAAATCGTGTAATCTGTGAAATAATATTTCAGCTAGTGGTTATCCCCTCGAGTAATAGATTACGTTTATGGAATGCATTTCAACGAAACGGTCAAGTATCTCAATCCGCCTCGCATGGCACGTAAAGCATCAATCATTGATCTCGGGAAAAGCAAGGTGGAAAAGAAGGGGGGAAAAATGAGAAAAATCCGATGTTACCTTGAGCGACTGCCGCGACCGCAGCCGCAGCTGCCGCGCCCGGACTGACTGCGCCTTCCGGGCCGTTGCAAGCCGCGTAATTCGCCAGGCTGGGGTACATCGTGGTCGGCTCCTCCTTGACGATGTGTGGCGAGTGCCCGTCGCGGAATACCACCGCGCGAATCACACCGCGGATATGCTCGTCTGGCCAGACACCCAGCAGAATCCTCTGCGGTCGTCCTCGTCCCTTCGGGCGCAAATCTACGGAAGAGAAGGTAGATGAGTAAAGGAAAAGAGGGCGATGAAGAGGAAGAATTCATTTCACTGCAAATCGGTTCTGTGATTGTGCATGTGGTCGTGATAGTTGCCCGTCGCTACTCGTTTTCTCGCGTTGATGCTTCTTCGAGAACCGCGAGAATAATCGTGTCTCGTAATCTCTCTCGGCATGGAATTAAAATTAAATAGATTTGAGGAAGAACGAGGACGAGAGATTTTTATGTGACATTCGTGGAATCATTGGAGTTTATTAATGAAAAAATCTCCGTGAGACTTTAGCTGCGCTAAAGCAAGACAATTCAAAACGACAATTGTTAAAAAACTTTTTTTTTTTACATTTTTCGTTTGTTTATTAGAATAAAAGGTGGTAATGTAGAACCCTGCTCTGTGCTACTATTTTAAATGAACTCCACTCTCAAAATTCTGTTATAATTAATATCTCTTGCAAAAATTTTAACTTGTTCTTGGATATCGTAGTTGTGAAATAATCCCTATCACGATCGGCGCGACCTTTTTTTGTTGATAATTGATGTTTTCTTATTACGAGGTATATTAAAGTTTTTTGTATGATATTCTATATTACGTTTAACATTGCTTAAAGTTCATAAGTAATAAATTTAGACCCTAAATTAAATAGTAAGGTGCTGTTCTTCTATTTTGAGAAGATAAGTAAGTTTGAATAATTTTCGGACATAATTAACTGTAAATTTTATTAATTAATTCTATTAATTAATATTGGATCTTAAGTAGACTCCGGGATTGATTTTTAATGAAGAAGAACATTACAGGGTGTTGTTTTACGTTAAAAATCTTTGTGATTATCATTTTAAAATTAATCATTTTAAATTTTAAGAAATCCTTAAAGAGATATCTGTGAAGCGAGAAAGAAGCTGCTCGTTATAAATATTCTCGAAGGCAAGATCAACACAAGAGCATTGCTCGAAAAACGTATTCATGAAAAGAACTTCTGAATCTGATAATATCTCAATATATTCAGAATTCAAGTTATTTGGACTTCCCATGAAGTCTAAATAAACTTGAAGAATCTAAATTCTGTAAAAATATTGAGAGACTCATTTTATAATCATATTCAGATAGTCTCATTATATAATGTTTCTTTTCATTTAAATAATATTTTGTGAACTGTCTTAATAATTTCAAGTGTGTTTTATACATAAACTTAGATTTAAAAATTATCGTTTGCGATCATTGATTTAAAACATAACTAAATAACTATATAATTAAACAAATAAAAAAATACACACGAAAAATAAAAGGAGGATACATATATTACCACCTTTTTTCCCCAATTAATTAATCAAGAATATTTTTCCTTTTTCAAAACTCGACTATTGTGTGTGTGTGTGAATCATAAAAAAAAAATTTATCTGAGTTTCTCTCATTTGAATGGCAATTAGAAATACGAAGTTGGGAATATAAAATTGACTTTTATCTATTGAACTGTTCTACGTCTCAAAACTAGTTGAGTTCCTCAGCAGAAACACGACTATAAATACGAGCTTTAATGATACGTTTGATCAGTGTTTACTGGACGTTACATGCTAATGACGCGTACCTAAAGGTTACTGTTAGATATTAAGTCCGGTCATAATTGCACGATGTAATTGCGGCTTTTACGAACGTAATTGACTTTTCAAGCTCATTCTTCTGCCGATTCAATGCCGTTTATCAACTATTTACAATTAGCCACACCGTCGCGGTTCATTATACGAGTTGCGTGATGGACCAAGGTTTTTTAAGAACGTTTTAAGAGCCACGATGTTGAACGCGTAAAATTTCAAGCTCGTTTCGGGTTTACCAAGTAAATCATGAAGGGATAAAATGTATCTTTTTTATATTTTGAAGCATAAGCGTAAATTTTCTGTCACAATTCTTCTTTCCAAAGCAGAAATTCTACATAAATTTTTCAACTGTTCTCTTTGTAATGTACGCCATTCGTATTTTGACGCTTGGCGTTATAATAATCTGGTCCATTTCGATTCTATTCGATCGGCATTAATCTCGCCTTCGTCAATGAGAAATATATTGTTAATAAACTATCTACGTATAGTGAATGCCAAAAGTTCCTACAGGAGAGACTTTTTTTTACAAAAAGTTTTTCGTTTTTATTATAAAGATAATATTTCAATTATTACATATCTTTTAATATAATTTTGAAAAATTTCTTTTATTCTTTCTTAATAAATTACTAATTAATGTTTACTTTCGAAAACTAAGATTTTTTTCCCGAGGATCTCTCTCCTATACGAATACTTTGTGCAATCATTATCAATTCTTCAGTCGTCTTTCTTGACACGATACGTGTCATTCGTATCGCGGTTCTCGATATTTCCATTGTTACAATAATCCGCTGCGTCTCGATCCGGTTGTTGGCATTGTTTCTACTCTCATCCTTGAGAGACGCAATGGGTGCATTCAGCGGATTCAACAATCGAGTGAGTGCTCGCTGTAGTTATTGGTGTATTCTTCTAGATTGTCCAATCAGACGTTTAGATTTAGAAAAATACATTAATATAGCAGCGAGCTCGCTCTACTGTTGAGTCTGCTGAATACACCCATTGGCCGCGTTCAGCGGATTAGAAAAAAACTAATCAATGAGCTCTCAGTGATTCTTTAATGTAATTGGTTTTTGTTCTTCGCTAGAACTGAGTGTGGGAACTAATCATATTAAAGATTCACTAAGCACTTCATTGATCAGTTTTCTCTGCAAACGCAACGATTGTTGATCGAGGAGCGAAGGGGATGATTTTCAGAGGATACTAAAAAAACAGAGGCAACTAATACTTACCGGCCCCGCCGTCGGCGCTAGGACCCAGCATGTTGTGTACTCGATTTGCGTACAGGACAAACGTCGGGTAGGGGATATCGTATTTCCTGAAAGGTAGAGAAGAGGGATACAATTATAATTTGTAGCTTATAATTATAATCAACATAATTTATAGCTTTGCTCGGCTCCACCACGTATCTTACATCGCATTACGTTACGTACTCTTAATTAACTTTAGCTATTCTATTCCCGCTTGTTCGTATTTTAATGCTATTTTATGTGTTTATCCCGTTTCATTACGTAATTTCATTTTAATTTATATTAATTTTATTATACCGACGGAGAATGAAAGATTCAACGGAACATATTTGAATGCATGACGATGGAAATTATGCAATCTCTCGAAATTATGCAATCGCGTGGGGAATAGGTACCGGCGCGATGACGTTGTGCATTTAACGAAGTAACGTAGAACTCTTCGCGAGAAGCAACGCGAGAAAATCGCTTGTCTCGCACTTGGGTCTGCGCGTGTGATTATTGTCGCATATTCCGTCGTCTCTCGTTTGTCCGTATAAAAAAATATGTCGTAACGTTGAAATATATCGAGAGATTAAATTAAAACAAGTAGCCTCTTGCAGATCAAATAGAAATTTATGAAATGGCATAGTAGAGTCGTGTTGCGCCGGCGGGAAGCATTTGGAAAGCATTATAGATCGTCGAATCGATTATCGTAAAAATTATCGCTCGCAGCTCGTAAAATCGTGCTTTATGGAGTCGCTTTGTACGCGAATTAAAAGAAATCCCTTTAACAGCGGGTCGACGTTGTTACGCAAACGTGATACTGGCTTTACGACGTCAGCCGCGCAAATGATTTTAAAGCAAGCCACTTTGAGCGGAGTAGATCGGATGATTATTTAGCATGATTCAAGTACGGAGATAAGGTACGCTTGATGCAGGATAATTTCCAGGAATTTTTCATTGCGTAATAACCCGGCTCTATTGTACGCGCCGCATCATAAGACATTTATATAACAATTTTAACTATTTACCCGATACATTGCGTGAGTTGGCGCGCACGGAGGAAACAACGGCATACAATATTTATCTTTTACGTATCAATTATTAACGTTATAGAAGAACACGCTACCGCGGGCGCGGGACGAACTCTTGGGATGAGCAATTAAAATAATTCTTTAATTTTTATATTAACGCATTTCATCATTCTCGGTGTTAATATTAAATGATACGCACCAAAGTTTTATGCAACTGCGCGTGGAATATATTATTAATTTTATTATTGGTTCCATCGCGCGGATACACACGGATGGTGTACCCGTCGTATATACGGAAAATGATTGCGAGTAAATTAATTATTTTTGCAATATACATCGGAGACATTTCGATATATTTTTTAAGTTGACGCGTTTTATATCAGCCGGTATTAATATATTACATGTAATATAGTGAAAAAGTGCAATTAAATGAGATAAATAATTTTTACAAAACAGCGTTGGACGTTGGAATATTTTTAAGATTAATATGTTGTATCGATTAGTATTAATATTACATGAATTCGATGGCCCGTAATACGGACTATTTATTTTTGCTGCAGTATTTTTTAACGCGATTTTTTTCTTTCAAATAAATGTCTTATTACGTTCTGGGCAATTAATGAGATATATAAAGACATGATATTGTAAGTACGTTATAAAATATTTAATAATATATTTCGAAAAATTAACGATTCAATGCTATATAACGATTAACATTGAGCATTGTCGAAAATTTGTAATTCTGAGCGTTGACCTAAGATGAGTCGACATTTATTGCACGTTTTAAAAGTTAGCAGAATAAAAATGAGCACAATAAATTTTTTATACAAATAAAAATATTAAATTTGAATTGATTCTGTTCATATTTTGTTCCGCTCTCTAATTAATAAAACGTACTATTCAATATCTTAAATTCCTTTTTCTATCTGTATTTCTAGTATTAATGTATTGAAAAGAATACTAAATTCTAATAAATCATTTGAATTGAACGCCAACTAAATATTTATTAAATATAAAGATATATTTATTTGGTGCAAGAAAAAACATTAATTTGATTTAACAATTATTTCTTTTATTAAATAAATATTTATTTACTGTAAAGTAAATACTCAATTGGCATATGTTCAAATAAATATATTTATTTACATTTAGGACATTTTTTTCTTAGTGTGCATTAAAATATTTTTAAAAAGGACAAAATTAGTAAAAGTGGTGTTGGCTGTTTGAAAAAACAGTACCTTGCCGCTTGGCTGAGGGAGAGTCCTTCCTTCAGCACGCTGAAGATCGCCTCCGCCATAGTCTCTGGCCGCCAAGACTTGAGGGGTCCACGTTCCCGGAAGCGCAGATTGTGCACCAGACTCTGGTTGGTGTTCCAGCACTTCTGCCACATGGACTGCAGCTGATACTGGTAGCTGTCTGCTAGTAAACGCCCCCCGTGGAAAAGAGAAAACACAGAAAAGCAGCTATTAGTCGAGGCGATCGACCAGTTGAAGAGCGGGAGGAGGAAGGAAATCAAGGGGGAGGGCAAGAGATTCAGGGTGAATAAATGTTCTCATTATTGCATGATTCTTTTATTAATCGATCGTCCATCACGCGCTCGTCTAACATGCGTTCAGTTGACGAGCGAATTCTCGTGAAAAGCCCTCGATCCGACTTGCGGTCGATCCATCGAGCGGGATCGAAATGGAGGGGGGAAAATGAATCGCGTTGTCGCGCAAACGATTCACTGCAAGTTTCACGTCGAATCGATATCCGCTCGTCTCGATGCACATAGGTGCATCTGCCGTTTATACCTTGAACGTGGGCGGAGTCACCTAGAAAACGGCGCTTAAGAAAGACAGGTATGTCGTATAGTGTGTGTATGTGTGTTCACGAGTGTGGTAAAGTAAATCTAAGGAATTCGTCTTTCTAGGTGAAACCCAAATATCGATTGTATTGCCGTTCGCCGTACAATCGTTACAGAACATTAGAGAATCGCCGTTAAATAAAAGCGCATTGCGGTTAACGTCAACGCATGTCACACATTAATGCTACTTAACATTAAACCTTTTCTTACTTAATGTTAAACACGAACAAAGAATTATTGCGTTCGCGCAGGGGATTCTATAAAGTGTAGAAACAGGGAATGTACTTTAGAGCACGTCTCAACTTAAGAAATCGGGAACGCATCGTAAACGTCTCGTATAAAGTAACCCGCAAACCGCTTTAGAACACACATCCTGGTTATCGCTGGTTATGAAAACACATTCATTTATATCCCGGAGTAACTTGAACTCCTTATTACTCTTTCCTTTATCAACGAAATAAAATGTTGAAGTAAAAAATATCAAATCAAATACAATTCCACTTAAATCATCCGACTTCTCGTCTGGTGTTATATAACGTGGAAACATAATAACTCGATTAATTCACTTATAATTGCTTTATTATAATATCGTCAATCAGACGGCTCGCAATAAAGAGTACACGTCACTTGGCGCCGATATATCACATGCTATTATAACGCATTAGAGTCTCTCCTTGACGGGCGACTATTTTTCAGCGTCGCGTGTGGAAAAATTTATCAAATAAGAGAATCATGATCGATCGGTGAGAAATTGGTGACGCAAAAAGAGCGGGGGACCTAAGGCGAAATAACGGGTGAAAGAAAACGGCCCGGCGCGGCGACACATTTACAGTTGACTTCCGCCGTTCGCGTACGGCACGTATGACCGGCCTCAATTCGCAACAATTATTTCATAGTTAACTTATTGGGTCTAATTAAGCCTTCTAACCAATTTGACAATTAATACAATTCATCGGTAAAACGCGGGCGCGCGCGCGCGCGACTAGTCTAGACTATTTTTAGACCCGCGTTCTCGCGGCGCATTCGACGCCAAATCTCCGCTTCGTGTTATAATACCGTTCAAATGTCCGACAAACGAGGTGACAATATCTGGTGACTTGAACCACACAGCTGCGTTTAATCCTTCGGAACTGACCTAATTGAGTCTATTGGATCCATTCTATTATATATTTTACGTTACATCTATAAATTTACATTATTCGTCATTAACGCGCTCCGTCCGCGATTCAAGTTTTGGTGAAAAAAGTAAAATTTCACTCTCAAATTTCTTCCATATTTTTGTAACTTTTACCGAATAGAAAGGTACTGCTAAGATTTCGTTTCAATAACATAATATAAGTTGTAAACTATTTGATAATGTGTAGTAAAAAATGTTAAAGATCGCAGACGGAGGTTAAATAATAAATTTAGTATTTATTCTTTTTTTATACGAATTATATATATTATTTTCATTCCTTCAATCAATGCTTTCTCATTGGCATTATATTAAACGAGTCTCGTAGGCCTACAGCATCAGTAATACAGACTTTGTGTCAGTGTTACAGACTTTGACATCGGTTCCGACGAATTAACGGCTGAATTACGTGCGATCAATTTTACTCATATTATCTTTTATCTATGAAGGCACTAAGTACTATTTTCTTCTTTCGTAATCACTCATCGCTTTGAGCGATGCACGCAGTCGCTAACGGAGTCGAAAGCAAAGACTTTCACGCTTCGACCGTGGAAGAGATTCTAGTGTGACAGCCTCTTTCATGTGGAACGGCATAGCGCAATATGTCGCTCTTTCATTCATGTCACGCGTTCAATGAAAGACCTTACGCAACGTCTTGTTGTTGTTTGGGATCTGGTCCAAGTCTCTTATCAATGCACCGGAGGGGAATCGTCCAACCGCTCGCGGATACCGCGAAATTACAATCTTGCGCGGAGTAGCACCGTCGTCGTAACGCTGTGGTTTACGGCCCCGCCGTGAGATATCTCTCGCCCTACCTTTACTTTACTTTCGATTTACTTTATCGGGGGAATGCCGCGCGCGCACGCCTATTTTAATACCGTTCATTCACACTTCATTCTCTCGCCTCTCGCACTTCCCGCTCTCTCTCTCTCTCTCTCCCTCCTCACGTTTGCAAGCGCGCCTCGCTTACCGCTCCGGCGTGTCGCACTTTTAGCGGACGCGCGATAACACCGGTATAATATTACATCGTTCTCGCCAGGATTCAATTAACGCGCCGCTCGTAAATACGCGGGCTGCAAGTCGCCCCCCCGGGGGCGACGATCGACGATAATGTGACGCGAGAAGTGCGCCAACGCCGGTCGTCGTCGTCGTCGAAGGAGAAGGCGTTTCCCCTCCCCCCCCCTCCTTTTCACGAGCTCCGAGCAAGTTTGCGGACGTGAACGATAACGTAAAGTCCCTGAGATGCGAACGAAAGGTACGTTTGGATGACCCGTGGCGGAATTATTTCGATCTACGCTCGTTACACGCTCGTTCTTTACCCGTAAGATGATGTGATAATATTAATAAGAGTAGCAGAATTTTGTTTAGAGAGTTACATCTTAAAATCTCCGACCGAAAACTCTCTCTCTCTCTCTCTCTCTCTCTCTCTCCGAGTCTTTATCGGATGAAGTTAGCGGCGTTGCGTTCTTCCCGGAGAAAAGCCGAGCGAATGGCTTTTGACGTTAATTACCACGTGTTGATAATTGCTGGATATTAGTTGCTTATTGCTGGCGACGCCCGGCGTGTACACGTCCGTCGCAGTCAATAATTGCCGCAAAAAGTCGGCTAAAGCGTACTCCTGTTAACGTCCTGTTCTCCGCGCGCGTAATTGAGTCGTTCTTTTTCGCCCCGAGCACACCGATACTGATAAAAATATCGTGCCCGCCGTTCTGTCCCGCGGCACGCTCTCGTGATGATGGTAGTATAATCTAATATCACTCCTCTTGTCGTCGCGCTGTCAAGTATTGCGCGTCATGGAATGAGATTTTTTTTTTTTTTTCGCAAACGAAAAGCTAAACGCACGAGGAAGATATGCCCGCCTAAAAGTTTTCACCGTCAACTATTTCGAGGCTAATGTTTATTCAGAGTGTTGTCACATCGATTGTGGATCCCAGACTGAAAGAAAAATGTTTGATACTTTTTTGTGATAATCTCACGGTAAAATAATTATAAGTTAGGAGCTCTCCCATTTTTGTAATTATTATAGTACTACAAAATGTTAGTACGAATAACATGGCTGTGTTGAAGGGAAAAAGTAGCTTTGCAAACGTTGAAATTCATCGATATAGTTGATTTATCCGTTGGAGAAACGAAAATGAACTGTAAATTTATAATTATTTTCATGACCATTTATCGTTTGATGTATAAAACTATAAATATATTTATTCTTGCTAACATTAGTAGTAACAACTATAAAAAAAAAAAAAAAAAAAAAAACAATGAAGCTCCTAACTATTTCACCATCGATTATAATCACAAATACTAATACTTTTCTCCCAGTGCAGCTCGCAATTACAACGAATTCGATTTTGGTTTAATCGCACGAGCGGAATTGTGCGTATTTGTAAAATATGCTGCGCGTGTTATTTTTAACGAACGAATTTTTGTATCAGCTAGGTCGAATAACGATCTCCCGTTTTATCACGATTTAACGTAATACGTTACTTGAGTCGCGTGTCGGCAAATTCAGAGCCGATATATATTTAGATGTATGCCTCTCTTTTATACGGTTCGCCGCTTTGCTCCACTTTCGTTACGTTTATCCGCGACTATTCCTTTTGCGCGTTACGTCCGTACTATTTATATTGCCATTAAATAACTAGCATAGCCGCGCGACCATTGCAACTTATAATAATATTGCGTTCGCGCGTTATTATACGCGGTACGTGCTGTGGAAACATTTTTGTTCGTTGATTGAATATTTATCGCTCCACTACAAGTAGATCGACTTTCGCAAGTAGGCGGCATACTTCCTTCATCCATTTGCTCTCCTCACGTTCCTAAATCGTCTAATCTTTCTTAGCTTCGAACAATGCCTCGCTTTAACAGGGGGAACGGATGTGTGCTCGTTTCATAAACGCGATTATCCATTAGGCTGATTTGGAATGTTAGCAGAAAACGCTCGCTCTTTCTTACAAGAGAATCGCCTTTCTCTCCTCGCCATGATAGCCTAATACGCTAGAGATAATTATCTCTCGCAAGTTATTGTCGGTAGCGAAAAGACCCCGAGTATACAAGGTGCGTAACATGGCAACGCTAATAACTTAAACAAATGTTTCCACTAATAATAAACTCGTAGAAAATATATATATATCTAGTTACGACAATATCGTGAGCATCGACAACGATCTCGGTGATAATTTGGTCCCGTCGAGTCGGAATATACACATTGTGATCGGAAAGTATGTACAAATTGTAGTACATGCGAAGAAACCGAGTGTATACCTCGGCCTTATACAGTCAGAGAAAAATGTAGCAGCTATTATAAAGCTGACAAACTACACAATACGTTCAATATGTTGAATTAATATACATAGTTGAATAATTATACGATAAAACAGTTTATTCAACCATATACAT